GGAGGGCGGCTGGGACTGCGGCGTCTTTGGCATAGGACAGGAGAGGAGTGAATATACATAAAGGGAATAAATATTTCGGGAGACAATAACCAGATAGGAAGAGTCAAGTTTAGTAAGCCATACATTGAACAGTAAAGAACAGGAGTAAAGTTTTGCTTTGCTTGGACTGCCAGAAACTTGTAAAATGTACTATGCAAGTGCTAGCTAATATTCAAAGATCCTTAAAGGAGTATGATCTGTTTTAGTATAGTGAGCTAGAGATATGGGAAACGAGATTTGAGACATTAGTTCAGGTTATTCAGGTCTGGAGTCCAGTCCGGGTCCGGACGAGTCCATCGGTCCGGGAAATTTCTCAAAATGATGGACCCAGGACCGGACCTCTCCTGGACCCATGAGGACCGGACTGTAGAGGACCGGTCCATCAGTCCAGTCCTGCGTCCGGACCGAGTCCGAGCGGTCCGGGACCGGACATCAGCAACTATAACACACAAATGCAACTGTTCATTCAAAACTGCAGATAAAGACAATGTCGTGCCTAAAGTTGTAACCATGCATTCTACATTGTATATAATGAGAAGTAGTTCAAGGATTCTTCCTTAGCATTAGGTACCTAAGAGTTTGTATTGTTACTTGGCTATAGAGGTTTTGTGTGGGTGAAACTAATTGCCACATGAGTCAAAATCATCTAGAGTTAGAGTACATTAAGCGCCTATGTGAATCAAATTCACCCATCTCTCAGTCCGAATCTCATTCCGCCCTTCAAGTTTAAGTTTAACAGCTGCTTTGCGAAGTCCCGCAGCCGCACGCTTGTACGTTGCCTCACTCTCCTTGCAACTGCACATGTGCCCATAAACCACTTTAGCAAAGAACGGCCCATCCACATCAAGTAGCTCCCACATCGATCCGATCACACTTCGGAATCCAGAGAACTGCATAGCCGCAGCAAGGTGAAGTACTTCATCATGCATACCATCGTGAGGCTGCTCGGCAGTGTGGCAAGCAGAAAGAAACGCGAACTCTGCATTCGGAAGATTCGTTTGGACAATATCGAGTAAAGTCAGCCCACGGTCGGACAATTTGAAGGCAGAGTCGAACGGTTTTGAATTCAATCTTCCATGACAAACAAAATGCACCCATGACGTTTTCCGAAGCGCTTTAATTACTATATCACGGGATGCATTGCAACGTACTTTGGTCCTTATGCCGCGATAGCTCCTAATGTTGCAAATTTCCTTACTGGCTGACTCAAGTGAGGTATCTCCAACGATAAGTACCACTGGTTCGCGTACCACTCGGTCATCTCCACTACCACCTGATTGTGCATTGATCAGCGCCCCAAGTGTCGGAGTATATGATGAGATATATTTGTCCAGTAGATAACTGGTAGTACCACATGAATCTCTGAACGGACCCGCGGCATGAAAAGGAAGCGCTGACAATATAGACGTGGGGCACCACCATATCCGCGCCCCCTCCTCAATACCGAGCTCCTTTAGTTTATCGACCACTTTGGAGACTACCCTATCCCACAAAGTCTTCATCGTTTGGCAGAGTATCCTGTCATACTCTTGCGAGTTGGCTCCAAAACTTGTACGTGTCTCCAGGAGCTCCTCACATAGATCAGTGCTATCATCATAGAACTCTTCATCCAATGGAATACAAACAATCGATAGATCCTCCCGAGAGAGTACAATGAGTGCATCGGATCGATATTCACAATGGTTGACCACAATCACCGGACCCTCCGAAGCTGCCTGCTGCAAGACTTTTAACGGCGTAGCTGTGAGAAAGTCCTCAAACCCCAGGATTCGTCGTATCTCACTGATAAGCCCCTCCTGCTCGTTAGATATTCGCCTCTTCAGCTTCAGCCTCTCCTCGAACAAAACCCTCTCTGTATGCACATGCACGTCCAGTGCCGATGGCCCTCGTCCATTCGCATCTAAATCGGACTGCAACACAGAATGCGATAATGCAAGATTTTCCAGCTGGCAACTGACATTCCTGAACTTATCAGCGAGCTGCTTGTTTGTTTCCGCAAGGCGCTCTAGAGGTGCCCTAAATCCGCGCATCAACGACCAGAGAAGAGCCCTTCCTTGTTCAAGTATCTCTATGGCTTCTTCGAATCTGTTTTCTTCTATAGCGTAGGCAGCTGCGTCTAATGCAAGCTGTCCATGGTCGCATTTTTCCAGGAGGAAATCATGCTGTGAATGAAGAGTGGGGCTAATAATGACTGCACGTTGGAAAAGCAACATTGCCACCCTGTAAGCTCTGGATGTGGTAGGGTGAGCATGACTTCGAGCAAGGCGAGCCCACCTGTAGGCAATCTCGAGGCGCATCATCAGGCTTGAAAACTTATGTTCGGCGGCAAGTTCGAGTAATTGTGTACATTCTTCAAAATCCTGCGTGAGCCCAAACTCCATAAACCGAGAGAGTAATGAAGAGGCGAAGCTACTCAATGACCCAGAATGATCAGGATGGCCTTCGGGGCAAAGTTGCAGGGCAGTACGATGATGCTTGATGGCCTCGTTAATGTCCGTCACCTGTCCATAATGATCAAAACGAGTTCGAAGGGAGGCAGCAAGGTTGTCCAGAGACACGGAACGATAGGGATGTCCGTCAGAGCAAAGCTGCAGAGCAGCACGATGGTGCTCAATGGACTCGTCAAGGTCTGCAGTTTGCCCGTGCCGTTCGAATCGATGCCGTAGGGATCCCGCAAGGCCATTCAGAGACATAGGACGATAGGGATGATTGTCGGAGCAAAGTTGCAAGGCAGCTCTAGCATGCGCAATGGCTTCTTCAAGGTCCGCTTCTTGTCCATAATGGTGAAATCGACTTTGAATGGAAGCCGCAAGGTTGATCAGAGACGCGGAACGATCGGGATGGCCGGCCGGACGAAGTCGCAGGGCAGGATGACGGTGCTCGATGGACTCACCAAGGTCCGTGATCCATCCGTGCTGTTGATATCGAATTTGAAGGCAATTTGCGAGGTTATCTAGAGAACCGCAACGATTGGGGTTGCCGTCGGGGCGTAGCTGCAGGGCGGCACGATGATGCTCAATGGCCTCATCAAGGTCTGCGATCTGACCACACTGTTGGAATCGTGTTACCAACGAGTTTGCAAGATTATTCAGAGACAAGGAATGATTGGGATGGCGGCCTGGAGGAAGTTGCAGAGCAGCACGGTGGTACTTGATGGCTTCATCAAGGACTGGAATTTTCCCATGCAGCGAAAATCGAGCTCGGAGGGAAACTGCAAGATTGTTTAGAGACGTAAAACTGGGATGGTCGTCACTGCAAAGTTGCAAAGCAGCACTATCACGCTTGATGGCCTCTTCAAGGTCTGCGGTCTCTCCAAACTGTTGAAATCGAGCTCGAAGGGCAGCTCCAAGTGTATTTAGATACATAGAACGATCCGGGTGACCATCGGGGCAAAGTTGCAGAGCGGCACGACTACATTTGATGGCCTCATCAAGATCTGTAGTCCTTCCATAGCGTTGGAATCGATTCTGAAGGGAAACAGATAGGTTATTCAGAGATCCGGGTCGACCGGGATGGCCCTCGGGGGTCAGACGCAGGACGGCACGATCACACTGAATGGACTCCTCAAGATCTTCTGGTCTTCCATATTGCTTAAACCGCATGTTCAGATGATTACCAAAATCATTCAATATCTCTAAGCGTTCCGAATGTCCCTCAGGATAAAGTCCAAGTGTGATACGATCATAAAAAATCGACTTGTCAAGTTCTTCCCATTCCCATGATTGTTCAAAGCGCCACCAGTGTTCAATGGCTAGTTGTTGGAGGACATCACAAATCAATTCAAGGTCCACGTAGTACGCCATTATAGGTACGGAAACGCAGCGGAGTGTGCTGATAATTCACCAAGAATCTTTGACTGAGCAGTTTGGTCAGAGAAATGAGAAAAACCAGCGATGAGGGATGCATTACCTGAAATCCTCCGTTGACCTTGGAGCCTGCTCGTCCGTACTGTTTGCTCTCTTCTACACAAAGGCTTCTCCGCGAGTCGAAGAGTCTTCTATGCTACCACTCGCTGCTCGTATGTGAGATGAAGGGACTGACCCAAAGGGAAAGAGAAAACGACCAATGCTACGTTATGCAACAAACGGTATCAGTAGCAGAAGCTGGCAACTTGACTTGAGCCTTTAACACAGAGCACACGTTGCTGTGGTTGGGAACAGGTGTGCTTACTTATATACAACACCAGCCATGCCAAGAATACGACAAAGCTTTGACGCAAGCTGAAGCTTAGGATAGTGCAGAATCTGATGAGAAGGAATAAAGGCATACGAGAAGGAATAAAGGCATATAGCGTGATTCGCTCAGATATTAAAGCCATACATTTTACTCGATACTCGATATTTGCATACACAAAGGCTATATGGAGCCTGTGTCAAGAATCCATTGTATGAACGGCAGTGCTCATTGCTGAAAACAGAGACGTTACTAGAAGAATTGCAGGATCCAAAACAGGAAAACGTACCCAGTCGCTTTTTCAGATCCGCAGTAACAAAAGTATCAAGACAACTCGAGGACAACCTATTTTTAGTACTGATATTAGACAGACAGACTCGCGCCTACAAATAACCCAAAAGAATTAACAATATGATGAACATGAGCTCCATCAAAAGCAGCAAGGGGATAATTACCTGAGCACAAGCACTGTATGAAACCCATGACTAAAACTAATGAAAGGCAGGAGAGAGGTTTGGGATTGTTTCGAGTTGTTGTGTGTGTTGATCATAGCAAATGTTTGCAGGGCCTCAGCCCAGCATGGTGCAGAAATATACAACCAGACGAATTGCACAACAGGTCCATACTCCCCAAACCCAAGGCTCAGATTGCTATCATAGTATCAGAATTGTCAGAAAACACGAAAAACAAAAAGGTTGTAAGCAACCCACCGACCACTCTCTCAAGTCAAATGTGAACCCAAGCATGCCAGTGGTCCCATAGCCGTTTCTTTGAGAGCTAGGCCAGCAAGCAAAGCACAAGTCTACGTTGATGGTGGCGCCATGCATCATCGCAATGCTTTAAGCCGGCTTAGCAAAGTCAAAATTACCATACGCACTCTCGGAGACAAACTAGGGAAACCTGTCAGTGCCATGCGAGAAAATTACCCAAAATGTGTAGTACCGAGATGACGTTTACAAATTACAAACAATAGGAGAGGAGGGAGCAAGCCGAACATCGGAGTCATCTTGGTCGACTTTCAGATGTCATACATGCAAAAATGCTGATTGTTTACGGTTTAGTGTGACGAACGCATTCCCTGTGACATGCTAAAACGGATATGCCTTTGCCTGTTTTGGAGACTTGCTATGCCTTCATTATTTTAAGCGACTATATTTTACTAAATACACAGCACAGCAGACCTACGGATTGATTGCGGAACAACATGAAAAAGGAGAGAAACGGAATGTGATAGTCCAACAGATAAGCATCAGAAAAATGATGCACTGGCACCACAAGCGTCAATCAAGCGCCGATGTGTACCAAATTAACCCATCACTCTAGCCTCTGTCTGCACGTCTTCCTGCTCTCTCAATGCCAGAACGGCTTTACGAAGCGCAGCTGCAGAACGCTTATGTATCACTTCACCGTCTTCATACTCTGCCATGTATGAATAAACCTCTCTAGCCAGTAAAGGACCATCCGGATCGTACAGTTCCCACATTGTCCCGATCACGCTTTGAAAATCACAGAATTGCACTGCGGCAGCCAAGTGGAGGACTTCATCGTATAAGCCAAATCCGCCCTGTTCGGAAGTATGACAGGCAGACAGAAACGCAGACTCAGCGTTTGGAAGGTTAGCTCGTATGATATCAAGCAATGTCAACCACCCGTCGGAGAGCTTGAAAGAAGAGTCAAGCGATCCTGAACCAAGATCTCCGTGGCAAGCAAAATGAATCCATGTTACTCTCCGTAGACGCTCCATTACCGTGCTACGAAGTGCCTTCTCATCAAGAAATAATGCATGAGATGAAACATAGCTCCGCGTGTTGTTCCGAACGGCACGAACTTCGGGTCCAGTTGACTTAAGGGATTTGGTGTCACTAACGATAAGCATTCTAGGATTGCCCACGTTTTCCCTCGACCGAGCACTGACGAGAGCCCCGAGACTCGGAGTATATGATGACACGTAATCGTCCAATAAATACTTTACAGTGCCATTGGCATCCCTGAACGGACCTGCTGCGTGGAAAGGAAGAGCGGAAAGCACAGATGTAGGGCACCACCACATGCGAGCCCCTTTAGTAATCCCAAGCTCTTCCAGTCTGGCGACAACTTTGAAGACAATCCTGTCCCATAGCATTTTCATTGCTTGTCGGAGTATCTCGTCGTATTCCAAGGAGTCAACTTTCAATTGCCTTCGAGCCTCCAAAAGTTTGACGCACAGCTCAAAACTATCCTTGCCAAGTTCTTCGTCTAGCGGAAGGCAGATAACAGGGAGATCCTCGCGAGAAAGGACAATGAGCACATCGGATCGACATTCGGTATGATTCACTACAATCACTGGACCTTCTGAAGCGGCCTGCTGAAGTACGTTAAACGGCGTAGCTGCAAGGAAGCCCTCGAACCCAGAGATTTGCCGTATCTCGTCAATAATCTCTTCCTGTTCAGTGGAGAGTTGCTTCTTTAGCTTCAGTCCCTGCTTGAACAATTTCCGTTCTCTATACATGTCCAGCATAGGTGACCCGCTTTCAATCGCGCTTGAATTAGACAGCATCACCGGAGATGATGTCGCAAGATTCTTCAGCTGGAGACTAACGTCCCTGAACCTATCAGCAAGTTTAAAACTACTACTCACACTTTGCACATTGTCTACTATTTGTCAAATACTTAAAAGTATACTACTGCTCACACTTTGTATAAAGCTAGTACTACTTCTACCACATATTTCCTTTCTAATCAGAGCAAAGAATTAGAACTTATATATAGATTAATATGCTTGTTAATACCTTGTCTGATACATTGCTACTAGGATTCTACCCTCCTCCTCTCTTTTTCTCAACATTTAAACATTTACTAATTTTCAAACACTCAGTATTTCCTCCAGCTACAACTATGAGTAAGATAGATACTAGCAAACATAGTACCAGGTCAACAGTGTCTAGTTGCCTCAGACAGAGTACTGAATGTAGTAAGGATAGTCTTTTCTCCAAACAGTATGATGAGCTTTTGCAAAACATTGAAAAGGACATTTTAGAAGAGGCAACAAACTGGGTCAGAACAATGATGAAGTATAATTCAATAAGACAAATTCACTCAGAAGTAATTCAAACTCACAAACACTTTCACATCTACCAAGAAATCCAAAGGTCACCTACAGATTTAGTAAGAATTGAAGAAGACAAGTGGAAGATTATAGAGGACTTGAAAGAAGAGTATATGCAAAATGTTAGACCTATTGGGAAAGCCTTGGATAAGCTAAATGAGGGCAGTATTTATGAACGTGATTGGTACCTTGAGAATGGTGTATCCAGGACTCTGGGCATTAATGATGAGAAGACCAAGTCTGCTATAAAAGAGGAGATATGCAAACATAATGTGAAAGATATCATTGGTAGTGCCATTTATTTCAGAGACATGAAACTGGCTAAGGCCTTGAAAGTGACTCGCAGACTCTGCAAAGATCCTTCCATTGTTGATAATTGTGACAACTTCTGGAAAGTGTATGTAAAGCAATGGGAAGACGTTTGGAAAGAAGAGATTCTTGTTGCTGAATTACATGAAAAATGTTGCAAGAAGTTTGTGAAAGCTAAGAAGACGCTTGAGAAGCTTGGGAAGAGTCATAAAGGGACGGATAGTCGGATGCGGAAGTTGGAAAAGCAGCAGAATGATCTTCGTGAATTGAAGACAAAGGTACAGAGGGATCACGAAGAAACAATACATGATGTAGAATTATACAGTAAACTGATAGTTAATAGGGAGTATACAGAAGGTTGCCCTAAGTGTAGGCCTTCTGCTCAGAAAAAATGGAGTGACATTGGGAGAGGAGCGTGTAGCTGAGGGAATGGTATGAACAGCAATGGTTTTTTATCTTAGATTTAGAGTGCTTGGTGCAAATTGTAGAAAGAATTGTGAGTGCATATCGTGTATTGAATCGATTGCGTGCTGAGGGCCATCAATGAGCAATGGATGGAAGACGCTCTAAAGGGGATGCCCTGGGAGAACAGACGACCTGCGGCAGGAGAGAAGGCCATTTGCGATAAGGAAGACCACGTCATGTCCGACAGATAAGCGATAGGATATTATCTGATATTCCATATGCGGATACACGGCTAGATAAAATATACGATAAATGATAAATAATATTTCCTCCGAAAATAACGTATTTCGCCATCCGACCACACTTGGTCGCATTCTCCTCTTCCTTTCTCCCCTCTTGATCCCTTACCACCACCATCCCCCTCTCCGGCGTGTCCTTTGTATCCGTGTCCACACAAAGGCAGACGAAATGTCGACAAAGGACGACCTGAGAATAGACTACACCCAACCTCTCGCAACGCTCCTCAAGCTCGCAACAAGTGCCGCGCACGAGAGTGCAGAGCATTCCCAGGGCGCCGGGTGGCTTACCCGTGGAGAGCTCGACAAGGAGGAATACGTCCGTTTCCTCATGATGCTCTACCACGTCTACGAGTGAGTTGCCACATTCTCACACTTTCACACACAAACGCCACGGAACGGAAGACGTTGTACTAACAACGCGTCGTTACGCGACCCTCCCCGCACGCAGCACGTTAGAAACCGCGTTAGAGCGACACAGCTCGCACCCTGTTCTTGCACCGACGTATAACCCCGCGCTCCTTGCGCGTGCACCAAGTCTTGCAGCAGACATTGCTTACTTACTTGACGTCCCGGAGACGTCCTGGGTCGAGCACACCATTCACCAAGAACTCCAACGCTCGCCACCAGAACCCTTCGAGTCATACGTCTCGCGCCTAAAGTATCTTGCCTACGAAGCGCCCGATCCTTCCCCGCTACTCGCACACGCGTACGTACGGTACCTCGGCGATCTAAGTGGCGGACAGACAATCCGACGGAACATCGCCAAGGCGTACGGCGTTGACCACGAGCTCAGCAGCAGCAGTAAAGGGGACAGTCGCGGCACACAGTTTTACGAATTTCGGCAGCTGGGGAGTAGTAAGCCTGCGAGTATAGGTGACATGAAGAAGATCAAGGAATGGTTCCGTGCCGGTATGAATCAAGGAGGTGGCGATGATGCTGCGAAGAAACGTAAGTGTCTTCTAGTCCGCTATGGGTCCTTCACCGTCATGTGTCCGAGGTTCCCGCGCTATGCTTTGACGCCCACAGACCTTGATTATTGACATGTGTTGATGTTCTTTGCTTTTGTAGAGGCTATTGCGGAAGAGGCGGTGTATGCATTTGAGCTGAATGAGGGACTCTTCACGCTTTTGCGACCCCCTTCGACCAAATCGGCGTCTCAAGCGCCAGCGGCTGCACCGCTCGGGAACCCTTCCGACTCGCCGCCTTTGTCCACTGCTCCTTCTCAGGCAAACATGAACGGGAATGGCAATGCACACGCAAATGGACATGCTAGCGCTAATGGACATGCTAACGTTAATGGAGAAGCGAAATACTCGCCACTCATGCTCCAACCTCCACCTGAGCCTGAAGAAAGCGCATACTCGCTTTCGACCATCTTGACTGTTATTATGGCTGTTGGACTTGCGCATTTTGTACTCGTCACTGGAGGATTCACGGGTGCGAAGGGATTTGGGAAGCTCGAGACCGCGTTAGAATGGTTTGGAGATAGAATGCATTCCGTCTTTGGTTGATCGATGCGGCGAGCATTGCATAGCATTAATGCGTGTATATGCTGTGCGAACGTTTGATGTAGATTTATTTTTGGGTTCTCTCGTCTGGAATCTGGTTACTCGTTCTTTCATTCTTTTCTGCTCTCCTTAACCCGCATACCTAGTCTTATCCTCACTTGTCATGACATACCACCTCCGACCTGCATGTACGCATTGTATTATTTGTAATGAAACGAAATGCATAGATACATTGTCTATCCGACGCCGGGCGAACAAGTCGACTTTATAAGATGAAGCGCTAATCAACGCGTGTACTATGGCAATGCCGTGGATGAAATTAAATTGAAGACAAGACAATGACAAGGCCCTGTCCTGAATAGAAGAGGTGCATTGGACAAAAGTAATGATTCTGGAAGATTCTGGCTGATTGTGGCAAGTCCATCCACACTAGTGGCGACTCGCTCTACTCTCTGAGTTACTTACTTAACCTGGCCTGTCTCTCCTTTGCACTACCGTCTTGACCCTCAACCGACTCCTGCTTTCTCTCATCTCTCTCACCACACGTTCAGGATTTTTAAATTTGGTAGTTGATACGTTGATAAGATCGGAAAGATGCCGTTGAATTACTCAAAGTGGGATCGTCTGGAGGTGAGTGGGTGCTTGTATGCGTCGTGTAGTAGATCGAATGAGTTGACTAACGTACGACGACGATGACGACGACAATGATAGATCTCAGACGACTCAGACATCGAAGGCCATCCGAACGTCGACCATCGTTCTCTCGTCAAGTACGTTCACCATCTTTTATCCCTTCATCTCTTCAATCAAACTGATCGCGTGAAATCGTAGCTGGAAACGACGAGACATCCACGAAAAACGTGCTCAACGGAACGCCAAAATCACTTCTCTCAAATCCAACATCGCGATAAACGACGTCCTCCTCCCTCGTCTCCGGTCCATCACAGAAGACGTACACAACTCCTCTAACACACCAGCCGAGTTCTCTCGGATCGTTGAGCAACTTCGTACTTCTCCTTCCCCACTCGCCCCTCCTCCACCGGACCCAGCGATCTTCGGCCCAGAAGCAGCTAAGCAAAGACAGGTACCGTATGACGAGATGATACTTTCGTTATTGATGAAAGTATACGAAGACGCTAAGGAGAAAGGTGTAGCGGCGACTGATGATCGGTTAGCTGAGGTGTTGGTTAAGAACTTGAAGGGGCATGTGGCGAGGCTTGGTGAAGAGCAGGAGAGGTTGAAGAAGGAGTTGGACGGGGAGGAGAGGGAGAAGGATAAGAAGATTACGAGTGAGCATTTGCATGATGCTTGGGATTCGCATGTTAGTAGTCTCCTTTCCTCGAATTATGAGTTTGCTAACTGGAGTTTTAGTACGTCCCACCGACACCGGAACCAAAACCAGTAAAAGGCCTCAGCTCAAAACCAAAGACAACAGCTACAGAGACGAAGACCGATTTCGAAGTTCTGAACACAAAAAGTGTCGAACAAGCCCAAGCCGCTTCTCTCGCTTCCCAAAACCCTCCTCCTCCCACCTCTCCCACCTCCACCACCACCACACCAACTGGAGGAAATAATGCAGATGATGACGACGACGAACTCCCAGAAATGACACCCACACTCGAAGAGTTCTCTCACCTCCCACTCCGCGGATACGAACAATCCTTCCACTTCATCCAATCCCATCGTGAAGTCTACGTCCCCGGAGCATCCGACGCTCTCCTCATAGCCGCCTTCCAAGCTGAACGCGCTAACAACCCTACATACGCAAAACAATGCGTTCATCAATCTCTCCTCTTGCAATATTGTGAGAAACTAGGACCTGACGGTGTAAGGTTGTTTTTTAAGAGGATGATGAGTGGGGATGCGAGAGCAGATGGTGTTTTTTCGAAAGATGTGGAAGATACGTATGAGCATGTTCAGAAGAGGGTTAAGGCTCAGAGGGAGGAGGAGAGAGAGAGAGGTGTTGATGAGAATGGGGAGACGGAGCAGATTCAGTTGGTTGTTGAAGGTGCAGATGGGACAACTCAAAACATTTCTTTCGTCATTCCTGACGGTCCACCACCCGAACACCTACAACTCGAAGGACCAGGCACCGAAAGCCTAAACATCGAAGAAGTGAGAAAGGCGTTACAGATGAGGTGGGACGTGTATAATGGGTTCCCTGAAGAACTCAAAAACGCTCTGAAGAGCCAGAAGTTGGAAGAGGTGAATAAGGTGTTGGGGAAGATGAAGGTGAGTGATGCGGAAAGGGTTGTTGGGCTTTTGGATAGTGCGGGGATTTTGAACTTTGCGGAGGGGGGGATTAGGGATGAGACGGGGAGGTCGAACTCTAAGGAAGAGGAGGATGATGAGGGTGAAGATGCGGATGTGGAAGGTGGACCTGAGGAGTCTGATGATGATGAGGTGGATGAAGAGGAGGATAAGGACACGAAAGCGTGAAAACTCGGTCCCCGCTTTTTACTTTTTAAAATTGTTTTTTGGAACGAGTTGTATCAACAAAAAGGAATCTTGTATCATTTGCTTGCTAGAATAAACGACTTATTTATCTCATGTTCCTGTATCGCACGGCATAGACACGATAGTATTGACATCGTCCAAAAAAGTTGGCATTGCAAAGTAATATAGGACAATGAGAAGGGTTTCCGAGTAACTGACTTATCGCTTCTTCCCAGCCTGCGCCATCCGTCGACTCTTCCCCAACCGCTTCTGCTTCTCTCCCTTCCCAGCCTTCTTCCCACCGCCCTTCTTACCAGAAGAGAACTCAAAATTCTCCGTACTCTTCCGAGTATTCTGTTTGTCTCTCCTTCCCTTGCCGCTACCGAATCCGAATTTCGCGTCACGTCCTTTACGGGAGAGACGTTTCTTTCCACCCCCACTTGCGTTGGGTTTCGATCGTTTGGAGGGATGAGGAGAGGAGAGGGCGTCTTCGACTGCGATGTCGAATGCGGAGTCGTCTGCGTTTGCGGTGGTGTCGTCTAATGCGTCTTTATGTTCTGCGCACAAAAGGTAAAAAAGCATAAGTTCCCGCATTCCAAAACCAAAAGAAAAATAAATCAACAAGAAAAGGGAAAAGGAAAAAAGTAACGCACTTCGTTTCAACCCCTTCAACCTCTCCTCCATCTCCTTCTTGCTCCTCTCCCTTTCCTTAATCTTCTCAATCTGAACTTGTTTCCCGTATTTCTTACCTTCGCGTTCTCGGCGTTTTTCTTCGCTTCGTTTGAGAGCGGCGGTTTCGTCGAGGAGACGTTGACGGATACGTTCCATGTGGGCGTCTGATTTGACCATTTCGGCGAAGTAGTCGGGTGGGCGGGTGAAGGGGAGGGTGTGGGTTGAGGCGAGGGTGTGGGCTGTGGAGGCGCCGTGGAGGGCTTGTTTGTAGCTGTAAAAATTGGGTGAGATGTAAGTGAGAGGAAGGATTGGGAGGGAAGGAAAGGAGGGGAGACTGACAAGGCGAGTTCACGGTTGAGGTCGTCGTTCACGTCGACGGAGATAGTCTCTGGATAGGTTACTGTTAAAGTTTCTGTCCATGGTAGAGAGGCGTCGAGCTTGATAGTATCGCGTATTCGCTCGAGAGCAACCTATGAGAAATAGCGTAGCCCATGTTAAATAGTAAACGGGGGTGTAACGGGTAAAGGCACGCACTTTGTTGTTGGTGATAATTTTTTGTCGAGGAACAGCATCTTCGTCGACGGACTCTGCATCTTCAAGGGCGACCTCGTCGTCGTCGTCGTCGTCGTCTTCGTCCAGCTCGGCCTCGCCGTGTACGCTTCCTTCCTCATCGTCGCTTTCGCTCTCCTCGTCCGAATCGGCTTCGACTAGTTCCTGTATTTGCATATCTCCATCCTCGTCTCCTTCGTCGATTTCACTATCTTCGTCGTCGTCTTCTCCGTCTTCATCTTCACCTTCAAGCGCGTCCAGCTGCATACGTCCGACATCGTCAAGACCGTCTTCACCAAGTGCTTTCATGAGCTTCTTCATCCCTCCTTCATCTACACCATCGTCATCGTCGTCATCATCATTATCATCTCCCTCCTCATCTTCACTTTCTTCCTCCGAGCCAGTCTCTTCGTCCTCCTCTTGTTCTTCCTCGTCGTCTTCTTCCTCGATCGCCCGAGATTCCACAGGAAGGTTTTTATTGCCCTTTCGCGTGTTGCTGGGTTTGACGTCCTTCGACTTGGCTACTTTAGAAGATGATGGTTTACGAGAAGTAGCCTTTTGTTTTGATTTTGAGTCGGACTTGAGTTTACCGGGCATTTTTCTGAGGAGTTTAGTGGAGGCGGAAAGGTAAACAGAGAAGAGTAGAGTTGACTCTGAATTTCTGAAACTTTTTGTGATCGACGTTCATTTACCTGGTTAGGAAGGAGAATTCCACGCTACTGACTCCGAACTCTATTTGAACGCATTGCAGCTTGTTAATCAACCTTCGCTGTATTGCTAGTCTACAGCGAGATGAGGTTCAACTGTGTCGTGATATTTATCAATAAACGAGTTTGCAGACTCAGGACCAGCAAATGTTACAGTAACTTGAAACTTTCTCTTTGAATTTATACGAGTACATCTATCATTCTATTTACAAAAATCTCCTCTCTTCGGAGAATTTATACATTTCTGTCACATCTCCTTTAGTGTGAACAAAGGGTAGAAACGACCGTTCGAGTCGTACTGAATGTCTAAAAAGTCGACTTCGCAAGACTTCTTCCATTCGTGTATGGAAGGGTTGTCAGCTTTAGGGACGAGCTCAAGCTTTATGGATTTCTCTATAATATGTGCTGTTTGTCAACGAATTCCTTGGAGGGTGGACAGCATGGACTTGACGTACCTCCTGCTGACGAGTAACCCATGATGTAGAACTTGCTCACCATTACAGAAGTAACGATGGCTTTGCCTTTTACTGATTTAGCGAGCTCCGGGTTGGCGGCGAGTGTTGAATTCATAATATCATCATACATGCGGTTTGTATCACATCCAAACATTCCGTGATAAGCGCTATTTTTAGATTCAAAGTGCAGATTAACTTGAACAAGACAGTCGTTATTCGTCTCGCTTCGGAATTATAATTAGTTTTAGGGATTCGTTTGATGAGATGTATGTGTGATACGTACTTTTCTCCACCGCGAGTAACTGTGCATCCAGCATGAACGGGTACGAGCCGAGTACGGCGGCTAGTTTTTGAGAGTGGTTCTTGTGGCACCGCAGTGTCTTTCTGGACTGATTCTCCAAGAATATTTCCTTCACGGTGGAACCGTCCGGTTTTACTGTTGAAAATCCCGTAATCTCCGGGCTGCACAACCAGATAAGTTTAGAAAACGACCAACATTGATGTAAACTCGAACTCACTTCAATCTTTTTTTCAGAAGGATTGAGATTCGGGTACTGATTCGAGTTGTTTCGAATCAGTTCGACAAATTTACCAGTTGTAGTCTTAAGAACATGGTTCAAAAGTCGTGCTTTTGCTATTGCTTCAAGTTGGTTGAGGTAAGACGGAAGGATGCTGGTACTAACGACGTGAATTGGCGAAGTTTATATAGGCCTGAGGCCAGAAGGCCACCTAGGCAAGAGGGGCCACTCGATGCGCAGTACTAGTGCCGCATTTTACAAAGCTCTGCATAACAGTATATTTCATGTTTTCTGAGTCAGTCTGCCCAAGCGGAGAATTCGCTTTGGTACAATCGACCTAACTTAGAAGGAGGCTTGGTTTTACCAGTGGACTTTCAATGCCATAATAAGGCTACGTGTAGGACCATAGACCAAAACGTCATGTGTAAAGTCAAGTTGAAGACATATGGTCTAAAAGGAGAGGTCCGCTTAATAACTTGTGATCTCTCCTGGTCTGGAGAGATGTCCCCTGCATTGGCATCGACATATTACTTTATGTTTGTGCAAGCGCGTCTGTGTACCTCAGCAATTCTGTACACATCCGAGTTGTGTGGCACAAGTGAAGTACGTAGTTTACCAGGTGCGGTTGTGATGTACACGTGTTATACAATGATACATGCACAAACAAACCATTTTCATCGGCATCGGCACGTCGTTTCTCTACTCTACGAACGTTCAGGTTCATCCCGCCTCTTTGAACAGAGTTTCAGGTCATCAGCTCCGTTGTCAACCTACCTTTTTCCAAAGCTCTCGTTGCTAATTTCCGGTCTGTTTGGCGTGCAAAGTTCGATCACGCTCTCGTCGACTTGGCTGGCTTACCGTATTCGACATCAATGTTGCGATGCCTTCTCCACTGGTATCAATCTGCGTATATCTAAGAATTATTGCTGTTGTGACGGTCTCCCTGATATTGAGCATGCTGCACCCGAGTCGGGAACGAGCTGTAGCATGTGCAAGTCCTGGCTTCGATCAAAATCTTTCAGGTGATCGATTCGGCTAACGACATACTCGTATTCGACATCCAGCAAGATACGTTTAGCTGTATCTACATGCACCAGTTATGTCCTTACTGTGTCACCCTTCATGACATCTGAGTAGCGCCGAGTTCTGCTAGTTGGTGAGGGTCCGTTTGTTCTCGCCAGCTTGCTGCGTAGGGCACTAAGGATACCTTGCATGTATGTTCACCGAAGATATCACTAAATTCCAGAACACTGCTGTAGCTTTTTTGCTGCTAGTTGAACTAGAAGCTTCTTCTGATCTCTTTTCTTCCATTGATTTGCAGTCTACCGATGTCGAACCCGCGAAGTGGGATTGCTCTAACAGAACTCGTATACAGCCTACAGATTGTTTTCTTCTGCTCACTCGGACTTTATTTTATCTCTCAGGGAACTCCGTATAAGGCTTGATCTCCCCTTACTTTCAATTTATTACCTGCTGATGTCCCTCCGTGCCATCAACCCGAAACTTGATTGCAATCGTCATAGTTCATTTGACCACCTCCGATATCGTTCATGACATTTTATTGCTCGGTGTACGATTAGCAAAAGGAAGACAGGAACGATAATTCAAGCCACGTCCGAAATGCGAAGAGATAGCTGAATATGTGTCGTTATCTGGCTTGGCCGAGCAGATGACGCTGGATTTCATGTGTTCCTGACATTGTCAACTTGATCAGATGACGCAACCAACCATGTATCATTCCTATCAAATCTCTTCACCCAGAATGGGAAACAGGCCGAAAGCTCACTACTTGTCGTATCCAACGGGTGGCATAGAAACGCGGAAAGGAACGTTTCTGTTGTAGCTAAAATCGAAAGAAAACAAACATAAGCAACCTACACCACCCCTTTGATATTTGGACGAAATATCGTGCGTCGGAGGCGAGTAGTGGCGGCGAAACTATTGCACTTGTGTTCGTGAGTTTGCTCCCGCACTAACTTTCAGTCAGTAACAGCATCACCTCCTTTCTCCCTGCCTCAACTTGCAGCGTCGGATTCCGCAGTTTGGTATATGTTGAAACTTGAGAGGCGATAACTCTAATGCAACGGCAGCAGGGAGTCAAGATCAGAAAACAATTTTCACCTTGGTCTAAATTAACGAGGCTGGAAGGACTAGAATTGTTTCTCCTGCAACTCTAACTATGCTTGTTTCGATTGCCCTCATTCAAATTCGATCTTCCCGGCTTCTTCAGATTGACCCGATAATGAATTTGGTGCAGATAGAGGCTTATGCAAGTTCTTTGGAATATTGATCCGTCTTATCGCTGTTTGTATTCACCCGCACATCCCTGACACTTCTTCACCACGGTATGGAATGGCGCAGAATCCGTACCTACCTTCCATTCCTCCTAGACTAACTGAAGAGACTTTTCTGATACCCATCAGACTTTCGACTTTTTTTCAGCCCAATTGTTTCGAAAATAGATCCAAACAGAATACGACGTCGGTCGTCGGTTAGTTGCGGGTGCTGTTTTTTTGCAGGGTCGCCGTCATCGATAAAAGGAGATGGTGCGCTAAACTTTTTAGGGTCGCTTAGCTTGATTGGTAAATTAACTATTTCGGAGACCTCCCCCCTTACATTACCATCTCTTGCTTGTAGGTCCACGATTTTCACCTTGAATCATTGCCAAATGATATTCCGTCGCAACAGCTTTCGAGGTCATTATTCGGAAATGATGAGTCTTGCATTCGCGGAGATCTATCACTCGATTCTTTCTGGGGGTGCCTCATGCAGTGTCCTTCTATTCCGAAAACCAGATTTCATCAAGATCTTACACCGAGGAACTCAGTTAAACTTAATTGACTCCGCGTCGACTCTGGAAAGACCCTGCTTGGTCCTCGTCACATCCCTTTATTTGACCCTTGAAACGCCGAATCTCTGGCTGCATACTTAATTACGGACTCCTCTCGCAAGCATTCGTCTTCGTCGTCTTTTCTTCCACTCCAGACCTCCATCCACTTGCAACTCTACTCTACTAACCAATAATCTACAAGCATGTCCGGCGAAGCTCCTCCATTACCTGCCTTGGACAACTCGGTTGGTGGAAGTGCTTTCAATGAGTGCATATTCTGAAGCCCCTGTTTGTCATAGATGGGTGTCCTCTTGATCGGGACAATGTGAGTCGCGCAGTTGTTTGTTGGTTTGTTTAGAGACTGATGCGCATATCTCGCAAAGGGTTGCAATGGGGTAAGTTCGAACGAATGTTTTGTTATGGAGGAAGAACTTTACTGAATAAACTTATCCTGTATAGGCTGTGTGGCGCGAATTGCGTGCAGGTTTACAACTATTATAACGTGGGTATTGTTCTTCACCAATTGTCGGCACTTCGTCTTAATGATTATTTTACGCTAGGTTTTCACGAAAGATCCTATTTGGTTGAAACTATTAGTACACAATTATCAGTGACGCTACTTTATGTCGAGTTGTCTAAGTGCCCAATAGGTCTTCTTTGTATGGGCATTGGATACGACACATCAAGGGCTCATAACACACAGTATATATACGTATCTTATCACGGAATATGGCAACCCTCTGTTCTTGGGGACCATCGTGGACACTCTACTTGTAAGTCTTCCCAGGGATACTGAAACAATGACGTATATTAAGATAACATGCTTACAACTTATAGATCGAGGTTCTCATCAATGTAGGTAGCGGAGAAACGATCTTAAGTTTCGCCGAGTAATGATCGGACATTTCCTAGGCTTGTGTTGTATTCCTTGTTCAGGCCTTCTTTACCTTCCGAGTTTGGAAGCGTCAGTGGATATGTTTACTCACTAAGTAGTGATGACTGATCTCATGTTCCTGACTGCAGTCAGCCAAAGGAACGTCGTACTCGTGGTTATACTCGTGCGTTCAATGTGTTCGTCATTGTTGAATCTTATTCACAAAACTGCAGTTATTGCTCGTCTTGTCTTCCTTCATCCTCTCAATCGGTGAGTGAAACTTATAACGAGGCTGTAACAGTGCTTATCTGACTTCCCCCCCCCCCCACAGTATACGTTGTAAAAGCGTATGGATGATCGTCTACTCTATACTTCTCTCGACTGATCTTGAATCTACAGACTGAGGCTCAAAGTCTTCGTGCGCCTCGTGGAAATCTATGCGTTAAACCGTTCAATCAACGTTATCAGTGCAGTCAGCGACGTGGCGATCACTGCGTCACTCGTTTGGTTCTTGCAGAGTTCGCGTACCGGGTTCAGGCGTTCGGACAATATTATCAACCGTCTAATTCTGTTCTCCCTGAACACTGGCCTACTCACTGGCCTGGACGCTATTGCTGCACTCATCGCAGTAAGTGCATTTTGAGCTGCTTCGTGTCTGGACTACGTATTAATTTACTTCTTGTGCTTATTCAGAACACGGCGTCTCCGGATACTCTCATCTATGTCCTGTTCTACGTTCTCACGAGCAGACGTACGTTTATCTTAGACATCTTCATTAAGTCACATGCTGACGTCTTTCCGTATTTCCAGTTTACTCCAACTCCCTGATGGCTACGTAAGCGCTCAGTCTCTTATGTACCTTGAACAGGCGAAGGATACTGACTAAACCTAGACTAAACTGCCGTAAGGGCTTGAACGGTGTTGACGAGACCAGTGAACAGGGTATATCGTACGCCTCCAGTGAGGGCCGCTTCCGCTCTCAGCCTGTCGAACTGAGCGTGCCATCAGGAGGAAAGGTTCGTGCTTATGTCTCGCCACTCACGTCTGTCACTGACGCTTCTCACTTTCATAATTTGTAATAGGGAAATGCACTCTCGATCAAGGTCAGGACAGAGCGTCAAGTTGTACATGATCAGGATGGAAATATCAAGGTGAGCAAAATTGCTCTGCGCAGTCAATTGGCGCTAGCTGCTTTGTTTACGTTCTTATTCCCGGTGGCTGATAGGCTTACCATTCTTTCACCCCTCTTTAGCATGGAGCCGACAGTGACACGGATTCACCGTATCATTATGGTGACGCAAAAACCGGAGCGTATCCTATGCACTCGATGGCAGTGTAAACACAGGTGCTATCATCTGAAAATTAGGACGGAGTTCACTACTCCATGCTTCCGGTCGTCATTTAATCCTGTTCGCTATTTGCGCATTTGATCGACTGCGACGGATCAACGGTGTTTTCGCACATTGCTAACAGTTCTCACTTGTGCTTTTCATATCGCTTTCTTTGCCCGTTTGCTTGTTCGAAGCTGCCTGCCTTGTATGTACCATTGGATCGGATTCAAAAGAAAACAAAAAGCTCAGGCCCAGGGCTGAGCGCTGCGGCCTGTTCTAGACGACAGTCTTTTCTATTCTGTTACTTATGCCAGTAAAGTATTCATCTCTTTGACCCGTGTCTTTTTTTACCTTGTCTGTAGAGTTATGTGTTATCATGATTATGGTTGAGAAGTACTTGGTCCCGGACGACAAATTCGAAAGCAGCGACGGTGTTGTGCAAGATGAACTAAGACGTAAATTTGATTCCATTCTCAAGGATCTTGCGTGTCTGCTAGGAACCAGTCTAGATCGGTTTCTTTCGAAGGATGGTTTGATGGTGTCACAACTAAACGGCAATCTGCAATCAGATTCGCATCCGTACTGTGTAGTGGGCCATCAGTAACAAACCAAGCGTTCTTCCTGCGACGCCACCCCGCAATCTTCGCCTCATGCCAGTGCAAGATAGACTTTTCTATGTGATGATCAAGGAGGCCTCTATTTTGCGCGTATTCTCGCATAGCACACAAGACGGTTCGCTTAATCCATTGGTACAACGGACTATTCTGTACTGGACGCCGCAAAGCCTTTCGACGCGTCCCCGGTAAATACAGCCCTGTACTAGGCACACACGTCCATTTCGACCCCAGATAGAGTGTCTTGATACTTCGAGGTCTTGACAGGATGTACTAGCACCATCCCTTTTCCATACGAATAGTACAAGGGTTCGAATCGCCGATGATTGTTCGCCTATTCATGTCCAACCTTGGTGGTCTAGCTTTCGCTTCTCCACCGCCGACTTCTTGCAGTTTCAGGCTTCCTCCAGCATGTCTTTAAAATCCTTGACAAGTAAACCCCAGCTCCTACACCGTGCAATTTAGATCCTAGTGTGCATCACACATCAACCTGCGTAACACCACGAGGCACGGTTTTATTGAGAAGTACGAGTGAATGGACTCCAAGATACACTTCGTGAATAATTTTGCATTATGCAAGGTCTTCTACTTGTCATGCGAAACTCGGCCGAAGCTCATCTGACCTGGATCGGAATCGTGTGGCTTGTTCCGCTTATACAATTCCGTGTTGCAAAATATGAAGTAAAGCGAATCCTCGCTTTCCCGATGACCAGATCCACCCTTGGTCATGGCAATCCAGATGAAGCATAACAGCAAAGACTGTAAGTCATGGCGGGGCTGAAGCCCATGCATCAGAGCAGCTTCCCAAAATCTTGACAGGCATGGTAGAGACGAAGTTCTGCCGATGTCGGTTTGAGATAATCCGGATAAAATTTGTCAAATACGAACCAGTTTGACTGCTTACTGCTTGTGTCGTAGTATCCTCATACCTGCAAACTTAAGCAAGCAGTACCCAATCTCGTCAAGGCCGGTAATGATGCTGACTCCAGTCTCATAATGAATGGATAAATACTCTGGACTGATGTTGCAGTGCTTGATGTCGTGATAAAGTTGGAGGGTTGCTACACGGAATTAATTTTTTAGTAAAGTACTTGAGATTACAATTATCACGAAGTTAGAAAATAGTCTCATGGAATTGATGAGATCTTCAACCAAACTGAAAGTATTCAACTAGCTTGACGTGAAGTTCGCGAGTATGGCATGTTCAGTGATTTGACACTGTGGCCCTGACGCCCTCGCTTTTTGGCCGTATTGCAATGGAGTCGACCAAGAGTGTCTAGCCGATAGTTCTGATGCGAGATGGTTTCCAGCAAACGACGTGTAGAAGGCAACTTTCGAGCGCATCGATTATATCAAATTCCTCAAGTGAACAGCGAGACTCGCATGACAGACATCGAAATCTGAAATTATGAACTCTGCTTGAGAACGGCATTCGCCAGCGAGAAACAGGGTGTCGGTATTACTTGGACCTTCAACATTGAAAACAAACTATTACTCGAGCCCATTGCAGTGGATTAAATTGTCTGTTATTGAATTCAATTAGTACGGTAGTATCCAAATGCTTCGAGCGGAGCACTTCGGTAGTTTCGGCCTCAGAAATATCAGAGGTTCTGGGTTGACGCAAAGTTCATGAGAGATTACTGCCACCGTTGTCAACACGAGACTCGTCTAAAGAGAATCAATTCACGACCAATAGAATGACGAGGCGCTAGAAGAAAAGGGGCGAGTTGTGATGAAGGTTCGCCTTATTGTGGAAACGGTGGGCAGGGAAGCTAGCTTGCAATGACTGACAAGATGCAAGAAATGCGAGGGTTGGTGACGCAGCGACCTGTATGGCCCAGTCGCAGCCCCGACGAAAATGTGAAATGGTTCAAACCAGGGGAGTTATGAGTTTAGATGCGAAGCAATCACTAAGATGATGTCGTCGAAGGACAAATCCGATGATTCAGTGGCTCATTCCAAAGGTAAATTTGACAACGTGACTAGCGCGTCGCGTCACACTGTCACGTGTGTAGCAGGATAGGGACTGGTGCGGATGGGTCTATCCGCGAAACCGCACCGCGGATAAGCATTTCCACGGATAACTTATCCGCGGATGAAATTCCCACGGATACCGCAGTTTCTGCGTATCCGCAAAAAACAGCCGGAAATTTGCGGGACTAACTTAGACAAGTAGAAATCAACTGTTGTTTCTTATGCAATCACTAGTGATACATCACAACTGTGACTAATATCACACTTAGGTAATTAAAGCAACGTGAATTTTTTATCGGCTAGGCTAAGCACTCAACCGCGGATACTGCGGTAACCGTGGGAAAATTCATCCGCGGATAGCTGGTGCGGATAACGGTGGCGGATGCCGCGCCAGTCCCTATTAGCAGGATCATGCACCACGGCTTTCGGCCAACTCGGACAGACACCAATATCGACATCTTGATGTTTTGTAACCCAAAAATCCTTCAATCCCTGCCTTGACAATGTTTACTATGCACAGTTCCCGATTCCGACCACTTCTCTTTCCGAGGATGGCAATTTTCCGCCAAAGTGCGTGTCGAAATCTCTCAGTAATCCGTCTCCCCAAGAACGGAGGAGAGTCATGTCAATCTCAGCCATTTGCGTTATATCAAAACCGAAATAGGGACACCGTATATGACTTTGTTAATAATCCCAAAGATGAAGATGTTGAAATACTCACATTCGCCGAGGAACCTCTCGGGATGCCGGCTAGGTTGGGCTTTGGCTATCTTCAAGTTGATATTGGTGAACGGTTTGGGCCAGACAACCGATTTGAGATTCTAAGAAAACTCGGGTGGGGACAGTGCTCAAGCATCTGGCTTGCGAAAGATACCATGTAGGCATGCTATTGTACATTACTATGTGAGAGCTAAGCATGACTCTCTTTCAGCGAGAACTGCTTCGTTGCTATTAAAGCACTATCAGGACACACGACACACCAATGCAAAAAGCGAGTTTGTGTCGAACACTACATCCTCTACGACTTATCTCAAGGCAAATCTACATCGGAGACACATTGCCTTACTCAAATCGCTGGGTTTCTTCAACCCGGTAAGGAAGGGGCCGATGGGGAGCATCTCTGTTTTGTTACTGATCCACTCGGACCTTCTCTTTTCGAATTTCGCAAGCAAGGCTGGCGATATACGAAACCACTCATCAAGAAACTTCTACGACATACCCTCGTTGGCCTATCTCACATACATAGTCTGGGCATCGCACATACAGGTAAGTTTGAATTCATGTTACGAAATGGATAAAGATTAACAGACACAGATCTTAAACCTGAGAATATCCTGATGGACCTGGGAAGTGGTTCCGAAACGTTTGACATCGAGTCGTTCTTAAGAAACGAACCTGCAAGAAAGCATCCTCCGGACCGGACTCAAGGCGGACAGCTCGTGCAGGCTGCTGTCTCACAACCCTTTCCTATTCCGCCATTTAAAGATTGGATGTCACGAAATTTCATAATCACTGACTTCGGCAGTGGTACGTAATTTTTTTTTTCGGGTGCAAGGCAGTATATTGATATGAGTGACTTCATGCAGCGCAATACGTTAATCATAAAGTTTACTACGAGATCATGCCTCAGGATTTGCGTGCCCCAGAAGTTATACTCGACCTTCCCTGGAATGAGAAGGTTGATATTTGGGCCTTCGGCTGTCTTGTGAGTATAGAACTTTGAAAGTTGCGCATATATCCCATTCTGCTATAGGTATTCGAATTTGTCAATAATCAACGGTTGTTGAAATCAAATGCGACGGAGGGCCTCGAAAGTCTAGACCCCAATGTCTTATTCCTCTGGCAAATTCTCTCACTTACCAAAGAACGCATCCCACCTGAAGTGATTCGCAGCAGCGAGCACGCGATGAAATACCTTAATCCAGAGACGAGTGAGTCTTCGCTTTTATCTAACAGCGCGGTTGACGTTTAAATTCATCATTGCAGGCTTGCTGAACGATGGTAGACCGTTAATTGATGTTCGATTCCTCGACATCTTAAGACAGATTGGGGCACTGACAAAGCCCGAAGACCTCGCGGGCTGCGAGCGCTTGCTTAAGAAATGTCTTCGCCTGGATCCAAACAAGAGAGCTTCGGCGAAGGAGCTCTTAGAAGATTCTTGGCTTAACACAGAGACATGACCTCCTCACTTGCCCTTGTTCACCTGTAGAGGACTTACGCCATCAATTGTCATACTTGTTTCGTTTCATCCTTATTCGAATGTTCACTCCTTTTCCCGGATTTATTTCATGCCCAACAGGTGCTCGAATCGACAAAATTGGTTCATGGTGGTGACATACAAGTCATTGCTGACAAATTGCTGCAGTGTCTGATAGTGCCACTAATTAAAGCCTGGTGTAATACATAGTTCTACGGTGAGTGTTTATCTGGATGCGTTTCAGTCCACCTTGATTTGATAAGTATCATACAGACAACTTCCCGTTGATTCGCCACATTTATGATTCTGCTTCAGCAGGATCTTATGAGTTTTTACTCCATCTGAGCGATTCCGTGTCTGAGAGTACTAATCTAGAACCCACGTACTGACGCCACAGAGTGACGATCACTCAATCTATCGTACAAGTAAATAGTGGCATTACATCTCAGTGGCTAGTTGGCCAATTCAGACAAGTCAAACATATTGTTGTTCTTGCATATTTAAACTATTCGTAAGGAGTTGGTACCAAATTTTATGCAAATGGAATTCCAAATCCTCTCCGTGCAAATGTTCAAGTCTGTCGTATCCTAATACGATTTTGGTTGCACTAACGGATTCCGTGATAACTTGCCATGTCTAGTGAAACCTGTATTCTATGTTTCAAGATGAGATGTTTCGGGCAACAGCGATTTTTGGTGCCACACAACTTCAAACATATTTGTTTTACTTCACCAATATGTGCAGAGTCTCGTTCTATTATTATTCACGTGGCAGTTCTGTAACTATGAAACAATAGTTTTGCCCACCCCTTCCTGATAGCATATAAGCAATTGTATGGAGCACTATCGTTTGCTCCTCCGTATAAACTCAAGTTGGCATTGTCTGATTTGAGAGATGAGCTCACGTCGGGCCCGCACAATTCTCTATCTTCCCAAGAGTGGAACTCAATCTTTACCTATTAGCCATGGCCGGAATGGTGACGGAGATATTGTATATGAATTTGTCAGAGAAGCAAAAGCCGAAGATATTGAGGAGTTGACTTTTACCGAGGAGCCTCTTGGTGTATCAGCCAGACATGGTTTCGGATATTTACAGGTCGAATTCGGAGATCGCATAGGGCCTGATGGCCGCTATGAGATTCTCAGAAAACTAGGCTGGGGTGGCTGCTCGAGCGTTTGGCTCGCAAAAGATACTAAGTGTGTATTTCATACTATTCCGATTATACAGGTATTATATAGCCTCCACCTTACAGGGAGAACAACTTCGTCGCAATCAAGGCTTTAACTGGGTATGAGACACATCGGTGGAAACGGCATGCCCAGAATGAGGACAGTGTAATCCGGGAATTATCAAAAGACAAACGGACGTCGGAAACATACTGCCTTACTCAGAATGATCGGTTTACTCATCCTGGGAAGGAAGCGAGTGATGGCGAGCATATCTGTATTGTAACTGATCCTCTGGGACCGTCCCTCGGCGATTACAAAAGAAAACGGATGCGATTCACAAAGCCGCTGATAAAGAAAATCTCGTCTGACATTCTCAAAGGACTCACTTATATGCATGGACTGCGGATTGCGCACACGGGTAAGAAAGAGATCACATTAAGGAAACAGCAAATGTTAACGTTGAGAAAAGATCTTAAACCCGAAAATGTCTTGATGGACCTAGGGAGAGGTTCAACAGCATTTGACATAGACTCATTCATCAAGAACGAACCTGCTCGTAGGCATCATAAAGAAAAGTCACAGGGCGGAAAGCCTGTATCCGCGGCTGTCTCGCAACCATTCCCGTTGCCGTCCCCTGAAGATTGTCTTTCTCGAAACTATGTAATCACTGATTTTGGGAGCGGTGAGCGGCTTTTCGAATGCCATAGTCATACCAAGTTGATGATAGCCCGTATTAGCGCAACATGTTAATGATAAGAAGACTAACCACATCATGCCACCAGATTTACGCGCTCCGGAAGTAATCCTTGGACTTCAATGGGATGAGAAAGTGGATATATGGGCTTTTGGCTGCCTCGTCAGTACGATTGCAATTGCTTTATGTCGACATTTCTCACGTTGGAATAGGTATTCGAATTCGTCAACAATCAAAGGCTCATAAGGGTCGACACGGCTGCTGCAGCTTTCAACGACAAGAAATTCGGGAACCACGTTCTCTATCAAATACTCGCAATAACTAGAGATCGCTTGCCACGGAATACTATCGAGAGCAGCGAGAGCGCTAAAGAGTATCTTGATCCAAACACTGGTCAGTATTGTCTGATGTAGCAAAGGGACGACATTACTTATCGGATGAACTGCACTGTTAGGTTGGTTGAAAGATCAACGAGGACGGCCCGAGGTGGAAATAATGCTCTCGGATATTCTCAAGGGGATAGGAGCTTTAAAGAAACCCGAAGACATTGTCGGTTGTGAAACCCTGCTCAGAAAATGCCTTCGCCTTGATCGAAAGGACAGATACTCCGCCAGAGACATCTTAATTGACAAGGACTCTTGGCTCAAGTCGGAAACGTGACCTTCAATCTGTGAGTTATCAGAACGGAGAAATAACGACATATTATGCACACTATATTTCTTCGTTGTGCAATGTATCACATAAAATAGCCTGACTGAAAAAAAATAGCACACATCACGTTCCCACGTAATCAGCGTATTATGTAGTTTGTCCGTTTGGGGATTATAGCTTACAGATTGATGACTTTACATAATTGCAACTAGCCATAAGACGAATTTGGTTTTCTCTTGCTTAGTTTGGTCTCAACGTTGCTGTATATTCCCGAAACTTGCATTAAATATAATGCTCGGGCTTGCTCTCAGGACAAACGTTTTCCAACACCCTAAATTGTGTCAACGACTTCCTAATCAATTTGCCTTGATGTTCTCCCTTCGATTAGCTTTGCATTACCCGTTACCACGTTCCATTTATCTTTTGCCCTTGTCGACTTTGGCAGTGGTATGTAACCTTTCATTTACACGACATGATATAACCCATCCTGCGTTTTACACCTAGATCCTTAACAAGAACGTCAATGATTACATCTGAGTCACACCTAGTCGCCTTCGCCTTCCGGAAATAATACTTGATTTACTGTAAAACGAGAAAGTTGATAGTTGGATGCATGGTTACTTAGGTCGTCGTTTGCTTTTTCTTAATAATAATACATAGATGAGAGCAAGTGTTCACATTCATCAATAATCAAAGGCTTCTTGGTTCGTCAAGAGAAAGGTTTGACCTAGATGAGCTCACGCCATGGCAGATGCTCAGTTACACTAGCCATTGTCTTCCAGCAGACATGATTCATAGTAGCCAAGTAGTCATGCATTACTTTAATCTGGAGATAGGTCAGTTTTATAATGTGATTTCGACAGCTTCGTCAAGGCAAAAGGCAGGTATTGCTGGTTGCTCGGCGTTACTCACGTAGGCCTACGTTTAGATCCAAAGGATCGGCTTTCGGCTAAGGAGATTTCCTTCTTGAAGATTCTTGGCTGGCTGGATGAAGAAATGTAAGACAAGCAGCGAAATGAGAGCAATGTCTCACAGTAATTTTTATTTTCGGTACTGAACTCACTCTCACTCAATCCGCTATTACTTCTTTGCTATTGTGCTGTGATCAGAACTTGTTATAGTCCCTTTTCCTTTTAATATTAATATCTTTCGTAAATTATGTATAAGGTCTTCTCTATTAGAACGAAACTCTCACGTTCTAGCAGATGCATGATGGATTATGATCCAGGGTATAATTACTCCTATCGTTACTTATACACCCGCCTGAATACGTATTACTCGTCTGATTTTAAATTAGCCACTTACATGGGTTGTCACAAAAGTCTGTCGAAAGAAAAAGCGAATTGGTCCGCCTTACAATCGTCAGCCGCTTTCTGAAGAACAAAATGAAGAACTCTGCATCCGCTTTCTATATTCTTTTCTTTATCAAGGAGCTAGCTCCGAACCATTTTTTATTCACAATGATTTTACACCCACTGCTTGTTCTTCTTGATATCGCATACTTGTTCCAGATTGTCTCTGGTACGCTTTGAGGTCGTTCATAAACCAAACTTCAGGCTGATTCGTCGTATTTCAGCGGGTGGAAACGATTGGATCAATCCTTCCTTTGTTCTGCAGAAGTCGGGAGCGACGGGTGCACAAAAGACGATTACCAGTTACGCTAGGTCAAGCGCGAAAAAGGGTCCATGGAGTACGTGGGATCCCTATACTAAGAATCGATTAGTTCACTGTGATGATGATGTTTGCTTACAGCCGTGTATGGCGGAGACGGAGATATACTCCCGCCGAACGAAGAGAAGCTCGACTATCTCAGCTGGGCACCATAGTAAGCTTCATCGCTTCGAGCAGCAACTGTAAGAGTGATTTAAGGTTTCGCAAGTCATTGGCCAGACTGTAATTGGTGCCAGAGCGGTAGAGCACATTTAAGCACGGGAGGCAATCGGACTAGTCCTGAGGCGGCGAGAAATGAGACGCAGGTAATTCCGGATGAGGACGGTGGTGATGTTGAATATGACGACGACGGCGGGGATGATGATTCACAAGATGAGGGGGAGGATGATGAGGACGATGACAGTGGTGACGACTCAATGATACCGTCCCTCGACCATCCGGTACTAGTTCCACGAGCGCACCGGAGAATGATGAGACATACGAGACGATTCGGACGTATGCGTGAGATACATGGTCTCAAGGCAAGGGGAGAGACAGGACTCCCCGGTAACCTACCATCGAATCTTCTTCCTCTCCCAACGCCTGATTCGAGCACCAGTGCCACGTCGACAACAGCAGACGGTATTTTCACCAGTCAAACAGGAGTGGAAAACGCCAGGAAGACATCGAAACCGAAGCCGAAACCAAAGGGAAAGAATACTCTTAAAGCCGCGCCAACGAAAACGAAGGGCGGCGGATCAGAATGCACCCCATCCCCTACTAAGGCTCTACCGCCTAGCGCAAGTGAGTCTTCCTTCTTTCAATTGTGAGTAACATTGGAGAAGTGGTAATAATTGTCCTTCCTCAGCGTGGACGACTTGTAAATACGTGACGCGAGATGGCAAGCTCAACCCAGATGTACGCAAGTTACACGGCGTTCAGGCCATCGCAGACGCCAGCCAGTCAATTCTCTACAACGCAGTCGCGAACATATTGACAGGTAGTGCGTCATATGCCCAATCCGCAGCACAGGCAATCAATGTCTTTTTCCTCGATCCACAGAGCGGCATGCACCCTCGTGTTGAATATGGACAGGTAATTCGTGGACCACAGAAACAGGTAGGACAATATCTCGGCGTGCTAGATTTCCGCGGAATGGTCAAGGTTGCGAACGCTATACTCATAATGCAAGCTGTAAATGCGCCGGCTTGGACAAGTAACCTGCAGTCGGAGATGAAGGATTGGACCACCCAGTACTTAAAATGGTTGCAGACCAGCGGGATTGGAAAGAAGGCTATCTCCGCGCCGAAGTAAGACCTCTTTGACACAGTCTTGACTTGACATATGCTAATACCACGTTTCGTGATACTCCAGCAACCACGGGTCATTTGCTGCAAATCAGGTAGCTGCAATGAATATACTTGCTGGAGATACGGATGCGGCTATGGGTGCGCTCGAGTCCTACTTCAACGGACAATTTCGCGATCAAATAGCAGCGTCTGGAGAACAGCCATTCGAAGCGGTTCGCACCCGGCCATTCCATTATCGCTGCTTCAATCTGGAAGCAATGATCGTGAGCATCTACATTCGAGTATAATGGCAGACTCTACTGACCTAGACCACTACAGACAAATGCAAAGCTCGGAGATCAGCTTGGACTTGATTTCTGGACTGCAAAGTCAAAGTTCGGCGCGACAATTAAGGACGCGTTGGACTTCGTTTTGAAGAAGGGTCCTGGAAAGGAAAAAGTATCGGACATCTTTCCTCACGTCGCAGCCATCGCTGCGGTATATGGGGATCCTGGTGGCAAATACATGGCGTATCTGAGAAAGTTGGACTCACACTTCATGACCGCGCCCTACTATTATTACGATCAACCAGCTGCTATCCATCACGTGCAAAAATCTGTCTCAGAGAACGGGCAGATCGTGGTTAACAAACTCATCCAGCAGCCCCCTGAACTACAGGTGCTTGAAGTGAAGCAGACGGACTCTCGCGATGATCTTCCGTCTCAGCGGCCGAGTATACCTTGGGAATGCCCTACTGTGTTTGCAGCGGCGTTAAGGGTGCAACTCGACGACGGGGTATTCGTTACATGCGAGGAGCTTAAACCCTTTTATGGATATGTCGCAGATGCGGGAAATGACGTGTGATATCTGTACATTTCTTCCTAATGCCAATGGAAGCCTTTTGCGGAGTGCCTGAAATGGCAAATAACATCCGCGAGGTGGTCCCGAAGAGCCCGAATACAAATAAGTAGATAGCAGTGAGCTGGGAACATAACAAGAGAAAATCGTGTATTCTACATGAGTTGTTAGGGTCCAAGCGTCACAATAGTCTTATCCACGAAAATACGAGAGGCTCAGCCAGTAAGAAATCCGAACGTTTGCCCGCCTGAACAATCCACATAAAGGCTCTGTTGGGGAAAGACATGTGGGTAGTCTGTAATGTTCCTTTGGAGGATGGAAGAAAACGAGATACCAGGACCAAAGTCGACCAAAGGGAGCACATCAGGCATTTCACAATTTCTTGCCTTAAAAAATAACTTACATAATGTTAAATATAATTCATAATTTAATTTACCATTTTTGGTTGATAGAAATTGTAAACAACATTTAAAAATTTCTTTAGACAAAAACTATAAATTAATTTTGGCATATCTTTATTTGTGAAATCTTGAAATAAATGAGAATAATTATTTAAAACATAATTTGAAGTTTCTTTTAAAACAAAATTATAAATTTTCTTTCAAATTTTAAGACAAAAAATATTTAGAATTTCATTTATAATATTAAATCTTATAAAATATTAAAAGAAAATTAAATTTTACCTAGAGAAGAATGCTAAAAATTTTTTAATATTCAAAGTAGGCAGTCAGTAGGCAGTCAGTAGGCAATTAGTAGGTGATTAGTAGGCAATCAGTAGGCAAGTAATGGGCAAGTAATGGGCAATCAACAGACAACTACCAAATAAGACATTAGATAGTTTTAACCNGTTCAGCTTCTTTCTATAACTTTACCATCCTACAAGTATTACTAGTAACAGGTTGTCTATGCTTCACT